GAGCCTGACCAGGGGCTGCACTTAGGGATTGGGCCTGCCCTCTGCCACCCGGGAGCAGGCCTAAGCCAGCAGGTCATTATCTCCCGAGAGGTCCCAGACTGCGAGAGGGCACAGGCCGGGCTGGGGGACCCCCTCCCCCGCCCCCCGAGTGCACAAATTTTTGTGCACCGGGCCTCTAGTTGTTTAATAAAGTTATATAGGTTTCAAGTGTACAATTCTATGATTCATCATCTATATATCGCATTGTATGCCCACCACCCAAAGTCAAGTATCCTTCATCATCATTATCCTATTTTATCCTTTACTACTTCCCCTAACCCCTTCCCTCTGGTAACTACCATACTGTTGTCCATGTCGATGAGTTATTGTTTGTTATAAATATTTTTAATTTTCTATATATTATGATGCTTTGATATCCTAAAAAAAACTTTCTGTCTGGAAAAAGTCTGTCCATCCTGGGGCTATCTCAATTCTTAGAAAGGGCCCAGCCAGAAGTATGCCTTTGCTATATAAACCAACTAATCCAGAGCCCTATCTCCACTGCCTGACCCTTTATACACATAGGAGTCAATATCCCATTGACTTTATTATCGCAGGTTCTGGTGCCAGACCACTAGGGATCACCTCTATAGTCCAAAGCCCTTGGAAACTATTCAAATTAGCCAATCCAAAACTCTTTACCCTACCTTGCCCCTTCCACAGATACTCCAATGAAGGCTGAGGCCTAAACCTTTCCTCCTCCCTCCTGTCTTCTGCCTCCTGAACACCTTGGTGCTTTCCCAAGGCTTGTCATACCTCTTGTCTCTAGCACTTGTGAGTATAATAAACTTTGTTTTCCTGAACCTCTCCCTTTTCTTCTCATGTGGCCACACTTGACCAACCCTCTCATAAAAGAATACAAGCAAGGAAACTATATCATTTAAAAGCCCAAATGAAAAAAAGTTAAAAATGGAACTCCCATTTGACCCAGTGATCCCACTTCTAGGAATATATCCCAAGAAATCAGAAACACCAATCAGAAAGGATATATGCACCCCTATGTTCATAGCAGCACAATTTACAATAGCTAAGATTTGGAAACAACCTAAAGTGCCCATCAGCAAATGAGTGGATTAAAAAAAACAAACAAACTGTGGCACATCTATACAATGGAATACTATACTGCTATGAAAAAGAAGGAACTTTTACCATTTGCAACAGCATGGATGGAACTGGAGAGCATTATGCTAAGTGAAATAAGCCAGTCAGAGAAAGATAAATACCACATGATCCCATTCATATGTGGGATATAATGATCAACATAAACTGATGAACAAAAATAGATCCAGAGACAAGGTAGCACGGAACAGACCATCCAACCTCAGAGAGAAGGCAGGGGAGGGGGGTTAGAGATCAATCAAGGAACTTGTACGCATGCATATTAGCATAACCAATGGACACAGACACTTGGGGCGGTGGGGGCTTGCCCTCGGGGGTGGGAGTGGCTGGGGTGGTCAATTGGGAATAAAGGAGACATATAATACTTTAAACTATATATATATTAAAAGCCCACTTCCTCTAGAATACTATCCTACCACCTCTCTCTCACAACTACCTTGATCAACTACCTTGATGCGTATGAGCTCTTGGAATGCATCCAGTATGTATTATGTGTATTGTAGTGACTTAAATATATATTTAATCTCCCATCCTACAGGTTGCTTTAGAGGAAGAAATGTGTATTTTTATTCACCACCCATCCCCACTCACCTTCTCATTTCAGGGCCTAGAAAAGGGCCACAAAAGTCCTCTATACTAATTTATTGAATTTGAAATAGATTTACAAATACCCAAATAGACAATACATTTCAAATACAGAATGTTGTCACTTTAGTAAACCAATAATCTAAAGATGCTGGTATGTTGGTAAACCCAAAGTTATTCATTTGTTTTGATTTAGGTGAGTTTTTCACACAAATATCTCTCTTAATTAGGCTGACTATATTGACCTTTCTAATAAATTAGTTATGTTTTTTGTATTTAATACCAAATAGATTATTCTACTGATTTTCTTTCCTAGGGAGGTAACTAACTTTAGATATAATTAGTTGTTTAGCCCTACCTGCTGCCTCATATGAATATAATTTAAAAATTCTTCTTTATTGGACCTTTTATAGCTTAGATAGCCTGTTAAGTGTTGCTAAACTTTCAACTCATGTAGTTTTCATAAAATTCTGACATATAGATATTATGCCTATTTAACAGATAGAAAAACTCAGGCTCAGAGACATTAATTGATTTTTCCTATGCCATGTAAAAAGTAAATGACAATACCAGGATCTGAACTCAATTCTATCTGAGTCCAAAATCCAGAGCCAAGATGTATCCAAGGAGGAAAAAACAACTAGTGCTGTTTTCTCTGTGTTGAACAGGTCCTCTCTTTTAAATGGAGCACCTAGAATATTGGGAAACAGGCTGGGATTACCATGGGGCATTAAGTCGGATGGAGGGGTAATTGAGTATATGGGGAAGGGACCTGATCACTCCACAGGAGGGGCTAAAATTAGTGTATGTTGGGAACCTTCCAATTATGGGGAATAGAACCAATCAGGGTTATATCCATTTCCTTCCCAAACACCATAAAATGAGGGTAAAGAAAAGGAATATTCAGAAAATGAGATACACTCTCATGGATTAAGAATGTATAATAGAAGAATTTCTTTTAAAGACCACAGAAATGTTGGAAGATAAAATTGAGACAATTTGATCTCATTAACATGTAAAGCACCCAGCCTGTTTTGTTTTCCGGACAGTAAGTATAGTGTCAGTCACCGGTGACTGACTGGGCACTTAACGTGTTAATTGTAGACTGGCTGGCTAGGTAGGCTGAAGAGGAGGCTTGAAATGGTCCACCTTTAAAAACAGCAGAAGCGATATGTGAGGAGATCAAATGATGGCAGGACAGAGGTGAGGGACAGGAAGTGAGTGAGTGAGTGAGTGAGTGAGTGAGTGAGTGAATGAGTGAATGAAAGGAGAGTGTGTGGATATGTGTGTTGTGTGTGTGAGTGAGTGAAGGACAGTTAAATCCGGCAGGAGCAGCAGAGGCTGGCAGACCTAGCTCTCTGGGACAGGGAGAGACTACCACCACTGCAGACACTCCCCAGTCTGCCGGACTCCAGCACAGAGCCCACGCCATCCTAAAGGGGAGAGCTGCCTCTTCTAGGAACTCATCAGCACCACCACCCAGACAGGCCTTGGACACTGCCCATGACCCTGCAGCCACTCCAGCCAAAATCCTGCTGCCCCACCAGCAGACTGGAAGACCCTGGGATCTCCACCTCCAAAGGAGCACCGTGCCCGCAGCAGTAAGTGCAGCCTCCCCTTCCCCAGAGGAAGACCTCCGCATTCCCCTGTCTCCAGCGTGTAGGTCTCCAAGGCACACCACTCCATAGACTTCTCTTAGGAGTCACTGTGAACCCAAACTGGGTGTGATTTTGTGCAGACACAGGCGCACTGCCCCCCAGTAGAAATTCTGTATTCCCTCCGCCTGAATAACTGCCCACACACACCCAGCTGCGCAATTTCAGCGCCAGGGCCCTTCAGCACCAGGGCCCCTCAGGGTGTGTCAGAGCTCAGCGCCAGGGAACTGCACTGCCACAGTTGCTCACTCCCCCTGAGCACATCTATCCACAGGGCACTTTGGGAAGCCGCAGTGAGCCTCTGCTGGGTCCGATCTTGGACTAATAGGGACGCACTCCCCTGGGCAGTAGAAATTCTGAATTCACCCATCCTGGATACCTGCCCAAAGACGCCTCAATTAAGCATTTCCGGGCCCTTCAGAGTGCTTCAGTGCACCTGCGCTAGCAAACTCACTGTGGGTGCTCCTGTGTACCACCACTGGGAAAGCGCGCCTATTCACCACAGGTGCATCAGCAAAAACTGAGGTTCCCCACCCCACAGCTACAGAACTCTGGACACTACAGTTGCATTCTTTTTCAGTGTGCAGGTCTCCCAAGACCACCGCTCCACAGGCAGCCCTGGGGCGCTGCTGTGAGCACCGCTGGACACGCACTTAAACAAACAGGGGTGCATTGCTGGGCTGTAGAAACGCTGAATTCCCTCTTCTGGGATACCTTCCCACAAATACTGCAATCCAGTGGCTTCAGTGCCAGGGCTCTTCAGAGTGTGTCAGTACATCGTGCTGGCAAACACACTACAGGTGCCCCTGTGAACTGACTCTGGGATCGTGTGTATCCAACCACGGAGGCAGCAGCAAAAGCTGAGTCTGCCCACCCCACAACTAAAGACCTCTGCACACCACAGTCATGCGTCTCCAGAACGCAGGCCTCCGGAGCCCCACCACCCCAAGAGACGGTTCCTGGGTGGCATTGTGAGTCCCCGCTGCGCACACATGATTTCAATCAAGGGCACAAGACAGCAAAAATTGAGACACCGCCTCCACGGCTGCTGACTTCTAGACACCTCAGTTGTGCCTTTCCAGTTCGCAGGCCTACATCAAGAGAACCCAAATAGCTCAAGTAGGGAGCTACACTAGACTACCAAGCCCAGGAGACCTGAGAGGTCACACCAGTAGCACCACACCCTAAAGAAACTGGGTAGCAAAGCAATCGGAACTACAATTAAAACATTACAGCAAAACATGGGAAGACAAAAAAGCGACCCACAAAGGAAAGAAAAAGAGGATTCACCAGAAAGGGAGTTAAATGAAATTGAGGCCACTAACTTATCAGAGAAAAAATTCAGAGTAATGGTTATAAGGATGCTCAAACGACTGGATGACAAATGCACACAACTAATTGAGAATTATAAGGAGCTGAATGAGACTGTCACCAACATGAAAAGGAACCAAGAGGAAATGAAGAACGACATAGCTGTAATAAAGAACACAATGGAAGGCTTAAACAGCAGACTAGAAGAGGCTGAGGACC